GAAGACATAGCATACCCTTATACATTCAGACTCTTAAAAACTGTGAATGTCAACTAAGAGGTTCCTGAAATCCAAGAACAGGAGAACCAAGCAACATATTTGTCGTCTTCATTTGCGGTCATAGCAACGACTACTTGTGTTTGATACTAACCAAATTGACAAACTGCATGTGTATTCTGGTCATTGCCCGACGGAATTTTTGCATAAATATTGTAGATTTCGTCCTGTGGCCCCCAAAAGCGGCCTATCGAGCGAACTCTAAAATCCAAAAGTAAACGAGGCCGTCACCTTGTGAGTTGCCCCACCCAAGCGTTTCCCGCAAAAGCTTAGGTTTCACTTCAGTTGAGTTTTTCAAGTTGGCGCTACAGGATTTTCTCTGAGAATTCACATTTGTGGACTTGTAGACCACACCAGGTCAAAGACCGATGGGCCCAGTCCCCTAATCAGTGACTCACTCTGTCCAAAGTCTTCGGAGTCGTCTAGGTCATGAGCACCCCGCTTTTTTGGTCGTTCGCGTGAGAGAGAAATACGATCAGAAGGATTGTTGTAGCAAATCAGAAATGAGTAGTCCCGTGACATACCCGAGGACCATCTGGCATACCTGCTGGTGTTGGCTTCTTTTGATCAAACTGAACGACTCTGAGCGAGGCGGAATACATCAATGAATGTGTTCAAGTATATCGTAGCTTGGGGCCTTTATAATAAAAATATATTAGGGGAAACTTATGGAGCTTCTGAAAAATCCGACAGAATGGCATCATCTCCACAAACGGTCTATTAAAAATAGACCGTAAAACCACCTACACTTAACAGACGAGTATGTCCGTCAAATACTGTACATAGAAAACCATTCCAGCCCGCTATTACCATATGGGCTGCATACAGGTGTCCTGAAAGGAATATTGCCGAGCCTGTCCAAACATTTCAGCGAGAGAACCTTCCTTTTTCTTGAGAAGAAGCGATCATGACATCAATATGCATGCCCGGGACCGCTTATCGCCTGATACCTGCAGACCAGTCAGGTTAACTAGAACAACATGCAACGTGATGGGGCGCGTTCTGAAATTGTCCACTTCAAATCACCCCACTACAAAAACGTGATATCCCAAGCACAACACCGATCGCCCCAAATTTGCACTTACTTTTCGAAAATGTTTATTCATGGACAGCTCAACATGGGCTTAGTGCAAAGGACTTATTAGACGCCTTCTTTGACTTTTTGAAAGCATTCGATTAACTTCCACAAGATTCACTGCACAACAAAGCAAGTCTGATGAATCTAAAGGATAGATTTTGCGCTAAATCGAGGTATTTGTACCCAGCCCGACGCTTCTGGAAGCGATAGCAAGCAAGCATTAAATAATGTGCGAAAGTACTGTCAGTCAGTGTTAATTGGCCTTAGAGAAATATAACGAAAAAGAAAACAATAGACACGTTTGAGGAAGCAAGGAACTGTCTTCGGATGACGGCGCCAGTTGTGTCACGCTGTAGTGCGGGACGTGAGGAAGTCAGTGGTATTCGACGTTCGAGGGGATGTAGCGACGGCAAACGTCGGTTCTGAAATGTGCAGATATAGAGGTTGGTGTCACGGAATCCACACGGCACACACAGCACACATTCGCGCAGGTCGGGTGACACAGGAAAGAACAACGGAGCGCGGCTACAACACACGTGTAATAAACCAAAACTGAAACCGGAAGTCGGGGTACAAAGTCAGGTCAAGGTCAATCGGAGGAGGTGTACAAGAGGGTTACACTTTCCTGCCCGGGGCTCGTGGTGGCTCGTCCGTGGTACCTGCTATAGGGGAAGAGAGAGAGGGAGAGGCACACATAAGGTCATATGATAGACGTGCACCCAGATACAGTCAAGTTTCAACTGCGTTACAGCGCGCCAAATCGGACTGCGCGCTTGGGGCTATCCAAAACAAAACCCAACAAAAGCTACCTGCAGATGTGATATAGAAGTTATACAAGAGTAGGATCTCTTACGACGCTAGGCAAGTGTAGTGGATTACACACACCCGTACCATCCGAACAGCTCATATTTTCAACCTCCGGCGGTTTGTTTTACTGTCAGAGTAGACGCTGAATATAGGTGGAGCTGACACAAACCTGCAAACAAAAATGGACAGCCGACAAAATATTGATATCAATTACCAGAAAATAAGCAGACCTGGAGCAGGAGTAGAACCCGGGGGAATGAGCAGCAAGAAAACGAGACAAACGAAACAAATGGGCATAAATCGCGCTATGCATGAGTAACCAGAAAACGAAAGCCCAAAGTGAGTACACATTAGTCGCCATGCCCCGGATTATCAAAGGTTCGCCTCAGTGTCATTCAGTGGCAGATGGTGTTTGGCCTAAGCGGCGTCTAGTGCGTGCATCAAACGCCTAAGCTGCGCACCTTGTTGGGGAATCTAGTCGGTGCCGATAAGATTGTCTACTCGGCCCAACGTACCAAAGCTTCCGCTGGAGGCCTTGCGAGTGGTAAAGACATATGCCAGTGAAAGATGCGTGAACTACTAGCTGGAGTTGCGTATGTAGAGAACAGGTCATCTTTCGCAAGGCATTGGCAGACGAAGCTGAAAACATTGGCCTCGGTGCCGAGTAGCTGAATTTCATTCCACAGTGCATCGCATGTGGGTACAGGAGTGGCGTCAGGGATTGGTGTCGGTGAGGCAGGTTTGCGTGTAAATAACCTGACCTTTGGTCCCGTTTTTGAGTCAGCTCTGAATATTGAGCAACATCCTACTAATATCTCAGTATCAGAGACGCATCGTTTGATCCATATATCTGTAAATGCGATTGTGAACACTCGTCCAAGGAGAGTCGATCGTTGAATAACGGGTTGCTCGTTGGAAATGTCGAAACTGTTTGTGAACATAGACTCCGGCACGAGCAAGGCTGCATCCGGGGACCAAGGAATCGGAAGCGTCTTAACTTCACCTTCCACGTAACCGGTCTGCGTGAAGGGACTTTAATTCACCCTTGCTACCAACGGAACTAATGGGCGTGGGCGTTTTGCAAAACGAGCGCTGAGGGATCATACTGGGGTCACTCCTACATCTGTCTACTACGAATGCTTGACAGTCCTAACACAATTTCATGAGGCCAGGTTAACACTTTATCAACCAGCGAACCCGGGATGGAAAGCTTTAAGTCTTCATTCATAGAGGTGGGTTGGTTGCTGACATAGAAAATGACACTTTTTGCTCAGTTGTTCAGACTGAAAGAGGACTAAAGAATATGTTTTTCGTGTCGACAGGTAGCTTATTATTTCTGAAATGCGGCTCTCCTTCATCTGAAAGACAAGTGATAAAAGGTGTAGAAATGCTCTTTATGTTCTCAGCGCGGGGCAGTATGATTGCCAGCGCGAGTATTCGCATAAATAAATGTCTAGTAGTGCTTTGAACAGGGTTCTAGAAGGAGCGTGGACAACCGTCGAAGGAAGGTCATTCCACGCAGTTACAACTACGTTCAAAACAGAAGGTATGGATTGGTCACGTTCAGTGGATTTGAGGTCATTACATCTCCGATTAAGCTGGATGACCGCAAGACAATATTTGGCAGTCAGGTAAGTTTCGTGTTTTTCTCTGGCAGAGGAATCTTTTCGACTTAACAGCATATTCCGGTTCTTTAACTGTTGCACAGATGTTGGCACAAGCATAGTCCAATGGCACAGAAATAACTTCTTCTAAGTCGCAATTTTGGAGTTTTGTGGGATAGGTACTCTGTTCATAACATCACCATTCTCGTTTAAACGGCCGTACGCCCGTTTTGGCGTAATCATTCCGGTGAGTCCCCACTAATAAGAAGCACTGGACTAAGTCACTTTCGAACGTCAAAGTCGCGCGTTCAATTTTTGTGCGATATGAAATAGGGCTGATGAGAAAGGACGGCCCTTCGCATGGCTCAGTAGACTGCGTAAACGCTGAACTGAAGTCAGCTTTCGATTAGTATCTTGTAAGTGGCATCCAGAAATACCCTAGGTAATTGTTTCTCATTGCCAGCATACCTTAATGGGACTGGAGTCTCAGGAAACCGGTTGGAAGCATGCGATATAGTTAGCTCCACTTGCGGTTTGTGGAAGGACAAATTGCACGGCAATATTTGGGGATAAGTACTCGCAGAAGATGAGGCTAATGTGTGGATTGTAATGGACGGTGCACTCAGACGTGTGTCCAGCGCTATGCCTGAAAAGTAGCATGGATGGTTTCACCAAAGAGGCCTTACCACACAGCTTCTACCACTTCCATCAAATGAATTTTCAAGCACTTGGTCGAGGTTTCATCCCAAGCTCTGTTTCCCCCATTTCAGCCATCGCCTCTGTAGCTTAATAGCATTTATTCCTAGCTGGTGGATGGCATGCCATTTTTCGTTACCACCCTAGTGCAGTCAGAATAAGCATGTAACAGATGCCAGTTTTGGGCGCCTAGCAGTGCGTGAAAACGGAACATTCACAGAACAATGGGCGTCGCCCAACAGACAGGGTATCACCAAAATTGTCACGAATTACACTCAGCGGATATCTGGGACGGTGAAACACCTGTTGATCCAGTAGTATGGAGGGAATGCGGGACTGAGGAAATGTTGAATGTTGTGACGGTGGGACGTGTTTTGAATAAAACTTCCAACTTTTGAACTAAAAATGGTGACCATTGCGCCCGCAACATGTTAGCGTGTATAAAGGCATCCAAACTCACTGTGTGGATGTCCCGAGAACAGTAGTCAGGTGGGGTTGAAAAAGGAGAATGCTGCGTATCAGTTGGATGCATCAGTAAGTCGGTAAGTCTCGCCAACTGTCGACACAGAAGCACAAAAACGTCCGCTCAACAGGTTATTCTCCGAGCCTCTGAACACCTGAAAGTTGAGGAGAGAGAACGTGACCACAACGGAAAACAGGGGTGCAAGCATATAAACATACAAACGGTGTCAGTTATTGCGGAGGGCCATCAAACTCCTCTGTACGGTATTCAGGGATGTCTTCATTTTCTTCCATCGTTACCACCGCCGCTTCTGAAAGTAGACAAAAGAGATTGTGATTAACGATGGCGCGCAATTTGACATCTGTCGGCACATTACACAGGCCCTCTCGCAGCAGGCACTGTCCACAGCGCTGTCAGATATCAGCTGTGCCGACAGGAGACGGTTGACATTCACTGCGGTTGACCAGTTTGACTTCCCAGGGTGGATAAGTCGGTAGGTTACGTCGGTGACGGCTTGGTCTATCGTATACGGTCCCTTCCAAGCTCCATGGAACTTAGCCGGTGTACCAGTAGGCGGAACGGGTTCGTACAACCAAACCCAGTCGCCAAGGTTGAACAACATATCTTGCGCAGCTTTATCGTAGTACCCTTTCTGGCATCTCTGTGCGGCACGCAAGCGTTGTCGAGCCAGTTCATGACTGCGAACGAGACCGGCCTGCATGCGTCGCACGAACACTGAAGAATACAACGCCTCCGGAGCCGAGATAGGTAGGGTTGTATCGGAAGGTAGTCGCATCCCCTGGCCTGTCGTCATAAAGGATGGGGTCTGTCCGATAGACGCCTGGATATTAGTACCGTAAATCAGTAGACAACGTGCCAGTGCAACATCCTACTGCTCAAATGTATTATGGTTGATAAAGGCTTTCAGCGACCCTTTCAAATTTCAATTTGTGTGCTCTACCTGCCATTGCCCTCAGGGTGGTACGCCGTAGTGCGAGTCTTTTTATATTCAGTATGAGGCACAACTCTTTGAATAAGACGCTTTCGAAGTTGAAGACTTGGTCAGGTTGGGTACACCCGAACGCGCAATCCACTCGATGAGCAGCGTTTCGGTCACTGTCCAGGCATGCAGTTTCGGAATTGGAATAGCCTCGCACCACTCGGTGAAATGCTCGACCATCGCCAGGATATATATTTTATCTCGGTCCGTTCTGGGCAAAGGCCCGATACTATCCACACCAACCAATTCTTTTGGAAACCCCGCCTTTATCGTTTGCAGTGGTGCCGGGGCACTTGGTCTGTGGTCCTTTATTCGACCACACTCTGTGTACGATTGGCAGAACAGCACAATATCACGCCGCATGTTTGTTCACCATAATTGACGACGTGCCGACTGTCCCAGTTTGCTCTGTCCACCATGGCCTAATTCTTCATGAAGTCGCTTCAAGCTGTTTCGACTGCACTGCTTGGTACCACAATACGGCGCAAGTAAGTGGGACCTTTCTGATAGTAAACGACCCATCAGTCACACGCAGCTGAGACGAAAGAGCCCAAAGACAACGCGTCAGACAGCTAGAACCCGTGAATTCGTCACTGGATGGCCGGTGTTGGTTGTGGAAGAGCTGCTCGTATATGAGCTTCAACTAGTGGTCCGAGGATTGTACCGTGGTCTACTCCTCACTTTCCGGTGCGTGTAACGACATCGATAAGACGTAAGAGACTGAGCATGATGGACAATCACCATGATCGTGGGTTTGTCGGCGAGGCAATGCATCTGCATTTCCGTGTTGTTTATCTACTCGATGCTGGCTCTCGAAATCGTATTCTTGCAGGTACTCCTGCCACCGGGCTATTTGGCCTTCGGGATCACGGAAGTTTTGTAACCACAATAGTGATTCATGATCGGTTCGGACCAGAAACCTGCGACCGATAAGTTAGTGGCGGAATTCTCGCATGAAGTTCACAAGAGCTAGCATTTCCTTGCGGGTCGTACGGTATCGTTTCTCCCGATGTGACGGACTTTGGCTGGCATATGCAATTACCCTTTCCATCGCGTCACCTGAATGCTGAGGCTGCATCGCACCAATCCCGTTCTCACTTGCGTCCGTGTCGAGGATAAAGTTGCCAGCAGACGGCGATATATCCGGATAGGTCAAAATAGGTGTGGAACACAAGCAGTCGCGGAGCTGCTTGAATGCTTCGGCTTGTTCTTCGGACCAAACAAAGGGAGTGTTCTTTTGTAGGAGGAATATAACTGGAATAGCGATCTTAGCGAATCCAGCTACAAAGCGGCGATAATATGAAGCCAGTCCTATAAATCTACGGATCTCATCAGCTGATTTTTGGGCTGGCCATGTCTTAACTTTCTCAAACTTGGCGGGATCACACCGAATTCCGCCGGCCGAGATTACTTGCCCAAGGTAGCTCACTTCTCGTTGGAAGAATGCACATTTCGATGGTTTCAACTTCAGCCCGAGTTGTTTGAATTGGTCCAAAACAAATCTTAGGTTAGCGTTGTGCTCCAAACCTGCTTTACTGTGTACGATAATGTCATCTAGGTAAACTATGCACATATCCAGAACCAGTCCACGCAGAGTTGTGTACATTTGGCGCTGAAATGTGGCTGGAGAGTTGGTCAATCCAACTGGCATGGGTTGAAATACATATAAGCCCGACGGGATCGCAAAAGCGGTCTTACAACGGTCACTAGGCTGTATTTCCACTCGCCAGTAACCAGAGGCTAACTCCAGTATACTGAACCAGGCTGCACCTTCTAAGGCGTCGAAGGTGCCATCAGTTTGGTATAGTGGGAAAGAGTCTTCTAGAGCTACGGCATTCAACTTGCGATTGTCAACACAAAACCGTAAGGAAACGTTGTGTTTCTTCACCAAAACTACTGGTGAGGCCCATGGTGACGCGGAAGGCTTGATGATGTCCTTTCTCAGCATGTCACCTATCATTTGATTTACCTGATGTTTGTGCTGATACGGGACACGTCGTGGTGTTAGACGGATTGGTGTAGCATCTCCAGTGTCGATACGATGTTTTTACGTGTTTCGTTTGACCAACGTCAGAAACTTTCCAAGCGAAAACGTCGTTATACTCCAACAGAACTGTACCCAGCTCCGCCTTCGCCGACGAGCTCATTGTAGGTGACGGTTGGGACAGCAGTAATAATAATGTATATTCCCAACTTGTGGGTGGCATACTGTCTGGCATGATCATGCGTTTACAGTCAAGCTGGCGTATGACTGGGGGGTTTACGGGTAGTGGGGATTGCGCAAAAAGGGGACAATGTCATAAACAGTGGGAAATACTCAATTAAATAATAGTAATGTTTCTTTTGCAACTTGATGGAACAATAGGCATGTGGTCCAACTAATTCAAAGACACATTCGGCTGATATGAACTAATACTGTAAAATCATTTCTGGCCATGAGTGACCTTGGCGGTTGAGTAAACTGCCGGATTCGCAATGATCAAAAGTGCCAGCGGCTAGACGCACAATGTATTTTTCTGCAAAACCCCTGCAGCCGAAATAAAAACTTTAACGTCAAAATGTTGCACTTCTTTGCATATACGCGTAGACTGAAACCCCCCTCATCTGCAGGCATTTTTTGCGATTTGTTTTAATCGATGTTATTTGAAAATTATTGGCGCATATTCGGCTTTGAACTTCGTCTGCTATGGCTTCGGAAGTGGCTTTCGTTGAGAAATTTGTGGGTGTATCGTTTTCATCCTTCATGGCATTTGAGAAGACCTTAAATGAATACTTGAAGGATAACTTTGTGATATTTGAGCGTTCATCCAGTAATCGAAGCACCAACATTATTTTGCGTTACGAATGGGTGTACTACAAATGCAGCAGACGCCCTCCAAGAAAAACGGAAAGCCGTGGAATCCGAAG